GAATATCCAATCTATAATATAAATTGACAAATAAAAGATTTTCGGCTATTTCTGATTAGGCCGGGAACAACTCGGTGAGGTTCGAAAGTAGATGAGGATTTCTTTTCTTCTTACTTTCTACCTTGGATATTTTTATTTCCACACTTCCATTTTTGGTTTTTATTTCTAGTGTTGCTGAGGAAATATAAAAAGAAAATAAACTCTCCCAATGAAAGCGTCGTTATAATTACAAACCGGCTTGTGAAAAACCATAACTTTGCATTGCGATTCACTGTGTACGATTGGAAATAAAGTATGAGGTATTTTTACATCGAAGCTATTGCATTGCTGATTTCATTGGTAACTCTTTCAAAAGGTAATCCTACGCAATTAAGGTCGTTCTGTTTAATTTGGCTATTTTCATTTGTTTCATGCGAATGATATAAATACATGATATTCAATAGGTATTCAATGGTTCAATCGAGAACCTCCAAGTGTGCTCTACGTGTCCAGTGGAGGTACAGCGAGAATTGTGTGGGATTACGATAACAGAAATAGAACTGCAATGTTTGATCCATATTCACCAGAGTGGGCTCTGTATAATACAAGTGGATTTAGAATTGTTATCGGCGTCGAGGATGGTTACAATGGATGGAAGTTCATTATAAGCAAACAATGTCCCCCAAAACTGCGTGGTCGAGTCAGTAAAGAGTCCACAGCTACTCTTGTCATCTCTAATGTCACCAAAGCTGATGAACGGCTATATGAATGTAGTCTGCTGTTATTAGCAGAAGCACCCACTAGAAGTAAAGTACAACTGGTTGTTACGGGTAAGGTACACATCTTTTGGTTCACACCAAAACGTTAACCGCTAAACAAATAGCTGACAAACCATTAAGACCTTTATCGGTATACTAATTTACTGCATTCCATACCAAATAGCATATACTTAAAGGTACTTGAATGTTTTATGATTAATATATCCACTAATTAATTGGACAGCTAATACTAGACTAATATTTTAATAGCTCTCAGCTAATGATTAATTAATTTGTTGTATCCAGAACGTCCTCGCTTTACTACTCCTGTCAATTTATCTACGCCTATCAATGAGGGATCAAGTCTGTGCATCCGATGTTCAGCAGCAGCAGATCCTATGCCGAACGTAAC